ATATGTGTTCTTGAAATTATTCGAATAATATACAATAGAGAAATACAATGGAAATAAATATAAATAAAATATGCAAAGTAGAATCTTTACATTAAATGAAACAAACAACATTATTTACATAATACAAATAACCATAAAATATGTAAAATACATTCATACATAAATAACTAAAATAAAACTAAGTTAACACTACAAACCAAAATACAAGCCAAATAAGCACATATGATAATTTCAGGGACCAAAATGACGTTTAACCAAGCTTAAGGGGCTAGAATAACGACAAAAAAAAAGAAATTTAAGGACCAAAATACAAATACAGAAATTTAAAGGGCTAAAATCGAAGAAACATAAGTTAAAGAACTAAACTGAAATTACCCAAAAACATGAAGGATCAACGAAATATTTAAACCAAATGCCAAAACAGTGACTAAAACAGAAGATGCATAAATCTGAGGGCCAAATTCGAACATCAGCTAAAATTACACTACACATGCAAATAAGGACTAAAACGATCATTATACGAAACAAGCAACCAAAAATCTAAACACTTAGAAACTATAATACTAATCATATAGGATTAAAACGGAACAAGAAATAAATAAAGAGCTCAAAATAGAAAGATGAAATTTCATTTAGGATCATATTACAACCATTACAAAGCTAAAGGGATTTAAAATGTAGTTATCCTAAGAAAATAACAAAACACGGAAGAAGTTATGAGGACCCATACTGTCATTATCCCCTTTTAACCCAGCATCCGACCCTCCCCTGTCTCAGAACGACGTCGTTTGACGTCTGAGATATACCCTTTAAGGGTTATTATGAAACCCTAAAATCATTTCCTCTCCCCTCTCATCCCCTCAGCCGCAGACCCAACCCGTGGGAGAGAACTCTCCCTCGGCTCACCGCCATGGGAGGCGACCAAGCCTCCTGCCACCGCTAATCAGTGGCCACTAAACCGATCAACCATCCCCCCACGAACGACCTCTCCTTTGAAACCCGACCTCTAGAACCCAAACCCACAACTTATATCAACCGAAACCAACCCCCCCAAAACCAGAAAAACAAAGACTTTACCTTCAGATATGGGGCTAGCTGGGATCGGGGAAGGTCACAGCGAGATTCACGGTGGTGGTTAGAGAAGGTAAAACTTTTCTTTTTTCTCTCTTTTTTTTTCTGTTTCGATTTTTCTCTCCGTATCCTCTCTTCTCTTTTTTTTCTGTTCTTTTATCTTTGCTTCCCCGGATTTCTGGTGAGATGATGATGATATCTAGGTAGAGCCTGGCTTTTTTCTGATTTGGTAGGATAGAAATCCCGAATATTTAGGGATTTATTGGTATTTAAATTTGGAAATTAGATTTTGTGAGATTTGAACTGTATATGATGCATTTTCTTGATTGGCTTTGCTGTAGATGACAATAGTGGAACAGTTGGGGTCAGGCCGGAACAGTGATGGTGGCGGCGCCCGGGAAGCTGAGGAGTCACACGGCGGCTGGAACTCCAAACAGAAGTGGCGGCTGAGTAGGGGATTAGGGTTTGAAACCCTAATTGGTTTTAGGGTTTGAAACCCTAATCTGATTTAGGGTTTGAAACCCTAATCTGATTTAGGGTTTGAAACCCTAATCTGATTTAGGGTTTGAAACCCTAATCTGATGGGTTATTGGGCTCCGGGATTGGGCCAATTGGGCTTTTGTAATCTGAATTGGGCTTAGGGATTAGGCCTGCAAAAAATTGTAATAATAAATAATAATAAAATAATAAGATAACGATAATAATAATAATAATAAAATAACGGAAAAAAAAAAACCGGACAAAAACGGGTGTTTACAGAATATATATTTATTCAGGATATTTATTTGACTAAAAAGGAAACTTACAAAGAAAAAAAAAATACTCAAACTGTGTTTTCATTCTTAATCAACATAAAATAGATTATACTTTTTGTTTTCAGTCAAACTAATTTTTTTTATTTTTCTTGATTAATTTGAATACGATCGAATTCGGATCAAACTCTAATCTTATAATAAAATATCGGTTTAATTAATAATATTGATATATAATATTTTAAAGGTGATTCTTTCTAAAAATGCTTATTAATTTTGTATTAAAATTTTGGAAAAATACAAATAATTCTAATATTGTATGAAAAAAAACCCTGATTTTGTAGGGAAACAAATAAAATAAAAGCAATGGTAGAACTTTCCCTATGTAGAAGACAATAGAACTTATTGGCAGGCCATCTCATTGCTGCATTCTGACGAATATTGACGGTGCATGTGCTTCTTCAAGTGGATTACTTTTCAGAAATTGTTTGGAAAAACAAGGATTAATTTAAATAAAATATTTTTAATTATTTTTTAATCTGAAATCAAAAGGTCAATATCTTATCAACGAATTATATGCTCCTAAACTATAAAAGATAAATAAATATACAAACAACCCGTTGGTCTAGCTAGTGGGATGAGGTACTAGGTCCCTTAAGCATAGTCAGGGGTTCAAATCCTCGAATGGAGAAAATTAGGTTGGAAGGGTCGCCCTCGCCTCTGCAATACCAGATATGGATTAATCGATCAAAAGATCGGATGTCAATGATTACTTCAAAAAAGAAAAAAGAAAAATAAATATTCTTCTATTAGTTGTCTAACCCTAAATTATTTGCATCCTCTACAATTAATGCTTGCATGCATAATCTTGTTCTAATTTGATTAATAATGCACCTAATAATCCTGGTTAGTGACTTCCATTTATATATATATGAACTTCTTAGCCGCCAGCCTTTCAATTAATTAACAAGTTATTTTCAATCGTACACAATCAGTTTATTGTTCATTTTATTATACGAAAATCATAGCATTAAAAAGGTTATCTTATGTAGTTACTAATTATTTTAGATTTTGAAGAAAAACAACTAAACTTTGATGAAATAATATATTTTTATTATTAAATAACATTCCTAATGATATCAATTTGTTTCAAATTATGATTTAATTGCCTATTTTTTTTAATATTTTTCATGTCTGTCATATGACATATGTATAAAGTTTATGATTATTTTTTTCAATAATGTTGTTTTTAAAATATATATTTAGATTCTCTCCTTAAAAATGTAATGTATACTGTCATTATATCTAACACTTATTAATTCAATTGTTTAATTTGTTGACACTATCTTTCGTTTACTTTATAGATTTTATTACACTCAAACTATCTCCAATTTTAAAGTAACTTACCTATATGTTATATGGATAATATTAAATAGGGATTACAATTTAATTCAAAATCGATGGATTTTGATTCGACTCAATTCGATAAGGTCGGATTTTAAAAAAAATCATATTATGGTCAGGTCGTCGAGTTTGGGTGGAGAGTGAAAAAACTCAGACCCTATCCGACATAATAATTTAATTTCTTTAAAAATATTATTTTTTTAATTACGTCTTTATTTTATACCAGTCGAGTTGGTCGTATCGAATTTATACTCTAAAAATTTGGGTCAAGCTGGAATCAGATGGATGATATATATATTTTTGGGTCGGGTCGGATGAAAAATATATAATTTTCGGATCAGATCAAATTCAAGTGAAAGATACATATTTATAAGTCGGGTCAAGTTGACCAAAAACTCAATCCTAACACGATTTGTTATCATCCCTAATATTAAATTATTAATATGCATATTTATTACATGATCAATTTAAATTTAATGTGTTAAAATATTCGCGTGATATGTATTTTCGTATATATAATTTTATCTATATTTATAGATATATTTCAATTTAAATCCGAGTCGATATTTAATATATAAAATCACAACTAAACAACTAAAAGAACTTAATTAATATAATTTTAATGCTTCAAAATATAATTAAAATAGTGATAAATTTTAAAATTGAAAGATAATTTAAAAACACTATCTGAAATTAATTTTTAATTGTTTATATCAAATTAATACATGTGACTTGGTAGATCTAGATCATGATTTAAAACACTTTATGTAATTATATACATGAAATTATGATTATAGCTTAATTGTATAAATAAAAATTTTAATTGAATTTAATTATATACTTTTAAAAAATATATATGCATTTAATTTCAAAATAATATAATTATTTATGAATATATATATAAACATAAAATAATGATACGTCGAAAATGACTTTGATATTTTTTAAAAATCAAATCAAAATACTATAAAATGAAAGTTTGTGTTACGTCATACATTCAACCAAAACTTATATATATAATTCTAATATTTAACCTTTTTATTATTTTTTCATAATTTAATAAATAATAAATAAAACATGCCTTCTTTTCATTTCAGTTGTTTCTACGTTTGTTATTAAAGTTATTTTCAAGCTTAGAAAATCGATAAAGATGACCCACAGATTTTTCTTTATATTCTCAAAACAGGAACGTAGGATTAAATCTTAGATATAATATTATTAAAGTAAGTAATTATAAATTTTGAATATAAATTCTAAATTATGTTTATTTTTATCGTTTCATGATTAAACATTTTTTAAAATCTTAAAATTTAAATTTGAATTTTCTTATTAAAAATAAAATTTATTTCAATATTATTGTAACATTTATAATATTATTATCAAAAACAAAGATAAACACAATATTTTATATTAGGGATGAACTTTTAAAATTTTAAGAGGAAGAAGAACTTATATAATTATAAGAGATGAAAATATATTATCAATAAAAAATATAAAAATATTTAAAACTTTTAAGAAATTGTTTGTAATTTTCGGATAAAATATTACCATAGCATTCACTTTCATTGGTCCAAGAAAAACAAAATGATGAAACCCATTTTAGTACGTAATAATACATATAGTAATAAGATATTATTGTAATTATTGTTGGTGTTGCATGATGGATAAAACTAGTACATAAGAGACGTGGGCTTTCTTCTGAGTTTTTCCCAGAATTCTTTTTTTACTTTCGATTTATAAGCATCGAATTCATTAATTTTTATTTAGTACCAGAAGTTATAAATAGACAAAGCACGATCGAACTCCATGACATTAAGCTGTTGCAGTGGATATGGCTTTTATGGCTTGAAACCTTGGCTCCTTGGCCTGGAATTTCGTTCCAGCATACACCTTCATATAATCTTCAAACACATATTTGGGATACTCTTCTGCTTCATTCTCCACCAGAGCCGGTGCCGGATAGATAACGGCGTCGCTACCGGGATTGTAAAACGAAGCGATCGACATTCGAGTCCCCTCAGTTTGTGCCATCACTTGGTGCTCCACACTTTTGTATTTCCCATTGCTGATAACCTGCGTGTTCCAAACAATTCAGCTTCTCAACTTCTCAAAACATAATGTAGTATGGCGATACACAGAGAAATCGATAGAGTCGAATACCTCGAGTTGATCCCCGAGGTTTATCACGATGGAGTGGCGCATCGGGGGAACATCGATCCATTCGCCGGCTTTAAGAATCTGGAGACCGCCAACTACAGGGTCTTGAAAGAGTAATATGATGCCACCGGCATCGGTATGAGCTCGAAGGCCCTTGATTTTGTCCGGTGTCGGGCACGGCGGATAGTTGCTAACTTTGGTGGCGAATGTAGGACCGTTTGTCCCGTTGAATGCATTTTTCAGGTACCCTTTTTCTAGTCCAAGATTCTCGCAGAACAAGTCCAGGAGCTCCTCTGCTAGCTTCTCCAACTTGACAGCAAATTCCTTGATCACTTTCCTGCAATTTTTTTAAATGGATTAAATTTTAAGAAACAATGAATTACTTTAGTTCCACCGATATTAACCTGTATTCATCAGTGAGATCTGGGATTTCAGACAGGTTCGATTGTGGAAGATGGCGCAAGAAAAGCGTGCTCTCCCAGTCAACATCAGTGAGGTCGGCTTTGCTGGTGGCTACCAGTTCCTTGAACCTCTGCTCCATGCACGTCTTGTAATGCTCCTTCGTCAACCTTTCCACCGTGTCCAGAAAATCATGGGGAATCCCATGGTCCAGTACCTGAAATCCAACGACATATTAACAGTAATAAATAATGAGAATGGTTTTGAATTTGATCAGATATACCTGAAAGAAGCCCCAGTTTTGACAGGCATCGTTGATTTTCTCGAGGGTTGCGGATCTCTTATCACCATTTAGCTTCTCCAAATTGATCACTGGGAAAGTCGCCATCTCTGTGAATTTACCACCTTTTTTCTCGAAGGCTCGCGCTTTTAGTTTTGATGTTAGAAAGCTCAAGACTTGTTTAATGCAGAATGGAAGAATGGTGAGGGGGGTATTTATAGATGTTTCATGGTCGAGGTTTTAACAGACTAAGAATCCATTTGGAAAAATTAATATTTACGCACTTCTATTAAAACAGAATGGAAAAGTAATGCAAATAAAATTCTATTAAAGTAATGGAAAAGTAAAATGTTTTTTTTTTTAGTTCTGGAATTTCTCGCTTTTATTAATAGATTTGATTTTATAGGATCAACTGAAAAAATATTTTAACGTTAAAAATTTATAAATTAGGTAAATAATTGATAATCATAAAATTTGGAATTTTAAAAACCTTCCTTTCACATTATTAACTTTATTTAGAGGTGGTAATTAGAATTTTTAGATCGGCTTTAAGTTTAATTATTTGAGTTTAGGTTGTATTTGATTTGGGTTTGATTCAAGTCGGATCAAATTTAGTTCTGATTTATGATAAGTCCGATATTAGTCAAGATTGAATCAATTAATTTTTAGATCAGTTAATATCAGATCGATTGATTTTTTTATTTTTTTGATATCAGATTGATTTATTTAGAGGCAAGGACTAACCAAGGGGGCAATCGTCTCCTGGAAATTTTAAATTTTCATATAATTATTGTTTTTTTTATATTTTCTATTTTCTCCTTAAAATTTTATACGTGCATCTCCTTAAAATTTTATAATTTCCTTTGCATAAAATTATATGTTCGTCTCTAATTTTAGGTAGAGTTACTATCATATCAACCAATTTTTGAGTTAGGTCAATAGCATGTCGATTTTTGAATCATTATGATGTCATATCAATCAATTTTTAATTAGGATAATTCTTTGGATCTTTGGATTAGTTAGAACTATTTATTTTTGACAATTTCTAAATTAAATCATAATCTCACATAAAGAGGAAGGGAATATGAGACTCTAGGGGAAGGAAGGAGAGTGCTCATAGTGAGTATAGAACACATGACCTAAGGGAATACGAGAGAACAAAAATGAGTAGTTGACCAATTGATTAAGTGTGTTTGCTCTAATTTTACTCGACAAATTATATAGTCCCAAATATTTATTAAAATGGTGATTTTAGTTCTTTTTTTTATAGCGTTTTGACCCCTGTGTCTCATTTAGGGTAAAAAATCTTATAATATTTGATTGAATAGTCGATTTGACCCTTGTTCTTTTTTTACTAAAGTATTTTAACCATTAATATTTTTATTTTAGGGTAATATGCCCTTATATTAGAGCATTAATTATTTATTAACTAATCTTAAAAAAACTTCAAAAAGAAACTATTTGTTAACTAACACTTTTTATGATTTTATTAACACAGGCACTTTTTTTTTCTAAAATAAAATAATTGGGAACTGTCGCAACCGTCTTTCGGTAATGCCCCGGAATTGGGCTTCGACTTAGGAAAATGGATTGGAGTCGCCACCGATTATTTATTTACAATAAATAGGTTAATCGGATACCCTATACCTTACCTGATCTGCGTCTTACCAAAGATATGTCGGATTCGGGAGTCGGTTACAGCTAAGGAAGGATTAGCACCCTTGAACTGCCCTTTCGGTACTATATAATTTCCAGTTGTCTTTAATTAAGAAAGTTGTAAATTTAAATTAAAATGTAAAGTGACGATCCAAATTACTTACCTTAGATTGCTTAAATTGTACCCTTAGAAAATCAAGACACATATTAGATAAAGAATGCAAATAAAAACACCTAAGGTAAAATGGAAAACAATAAGATGAGGAAAATACAGAGTATAAAATAATGTATATGGTGGTAATAATGATAAAGATATAAACAATGGGAAAAATAAAAAGATATATATAATAGTAATAAATAAATAAAAACTAAAAACTAAAATAAATCACCATAATCAAATATGTACATGTAAACTAAAAAATAATGAAAATAAAATAAGAAAATATATATATATAACAATAATAGAAAAAAAGTGTAACATAATAGCGTATAAAGTAAAACACATAAAGTTAATACAAACATATAATAACGTTAATACCATTTATATAATAGCTAAATATAAGAGGGAGGAAAAATATAATAATAATAAAAAAAATAATGTAAATAAATACAATATAAAGAAGTAAAAAATAGGGTAAAATACAAAATGTGTACATATATATATATAATATAACATATAAATGAAATAATACTATACTAATAATAAATGTATACGAATGTATAAAAAACTAATAATAGTATAGAATATATATAAATATTATAATGTAATATAAAAAGATAATTAAAACTAATGTAAATAAATATAATAATAAAGAAGTAAACAAATAGGGTAAAATACAAAATGTGTACATATATACATATATATATATATAATATAACATATAAGTGAAATAATAATATACTAATAATAAATATATACGAATGTGTAAAAAAAAAAAAATAATATAAAATATATATAAATATTATAATGTAATATAAAAAGATAATTAAAACTAAAATCCCGAGAAAGGACTAAAATGAAAGAACTACAGGATAGAGGTCAAAATTCAAAGAAATATTAAGGATTAATTTCAATTTGGGGGTGAAATAACTCTTTTAAAAATAACGAGGATCAAAAGAGTAGTTTACCCTATTTTATTAAAAACGCGCGGGTCACCAGGTTAAAATCTAAAATCGTTTCAAAAAAATTTATTTCCTTCATTTGATACACCTCAAACCGTGAGCCTTCCCCCTCCATTCTCTCGCCTGTTCTTCGAGATTGAAGAACAGGGTCCCTGATTCCAGATTCCGGCCACCATGGCCACCCCGAGCCGCCTCGCCGGCCGCCGTAGAACGGCGCCGGCCGCCGTTCATCGGCGGCAAACCTTAAAAGTTTCGATTTTTTGAAAGCCCACAACACCCTCGTCACAAAAAACACCACTATTTTCTACAATAAGCCTCGTGGGGTGTAGATCTGGAAAAGAAATTTTCGTACACCCCTACTCCGGTCATCGGCTTTCAACGCTTAAATATGGGAGAGACAAAACGCAAAAGAAGGAAATCACAGCCCTCATGCGAGATCGACAGTAACGAACGAGGTAGAGTATGCTTACCCTTTTTATTCAATTTCGAAGTTGGTACAAAACGATCTGGTTCACTGCTTTGTCTGTGTATATTTTTTGCGGCTATTTCGTATCTCTCCCCCCTTAACTATGAGATTACATGGTTATTTATACAGAGTAAATGCATGTTATTTTTAGCCTAGTTTGAGTCCTAATCAAACTCTAACTCTCATTGTTTGCTTGTGGGGGTTATTGATGGTTGCCGTGAAATCCGGTGACGGTTGCGTGCGTGGCCAGAGACGTGGGGCGTGGGGACTTGCTGGCTTGGTTCTGGAAACGGCACTGGACGAGAAACTGTTAGGGTTTGGGAACCCTGTGTTGGGTCTGGCACATGTGTAACGGGCTTTGCTTTAGGCCTGTAAAGAGAAAATAATAATAATAATAATAATAATAATAATAACAAATAAATTATATATTATATATATATAATAATTTTATGTAAGGGCGAAAAATGTGCGTCTTCAGCTGCCCCTCTTTGCGCATTATCGTGTAACGAAAATAGAGCAAAGATTAAAAGACACATATTTCGTCCACCTCGACTATCCTCAGTCGTAGAGTTGAAACCCGATGCTGAAATTGGTTTGTCAATCACGAAATGACTCTCTCGTCGTGAGGTTGAGAATGAGCTCAAAGCTTTTGGTAAGTGGCCTCTGAACCGTCTTCTGGCTCAAGGTACTTCATCGCGAAGGTGAAACTTGACCTGAAGACTTTGGTGTCGGGGTGTTACAGATGACTCCTTCGTCGTGAAGTTGGGTCAATCTGTTTGTGAAGTTGGAATTTGTATATGGCCCCTTCGTCGTGAGGTTGAGCCTGGGAACTGGATATCCTTCGTCGTGAAGTTGAAATCCACGTGAGTAATATTGTTCCGAGTCCAATATCCTCCGCCGTGAAGTCGAAATTGGCTCTGAAATTGAGATATTTGTTGACAACCAGCGGTCCCTTCGTTGTGAAGTTGAACTTGCGTTGTCTGGAGTCCAATATCCTTCGCTGTGAAATTGAAATTGGCTCTGAAATTGGGAAATGTTTATTGACAACCAGCGGTCCCTTCGTCGTGAAGTTGAACTTGCGTTGTCTGGAGTCCAATATCCTTCGTTGTGAAGTTGAAATTGGCCCTGAAATTGAGAAATGTTTGTTGACAAGCAGCGGTCCCTTCGTCGTGAAGTTGAACTTGCGTTGTCTGGAGTCAAATATCCTTCGTCGTGAAGTTGAAATTGGCTCTGGAATTGAGAAATGTTTGTTGACAAGCAGCGGTCCCTTCGTCGTGAAGTTGAACTTGCGTTGTCTGGAGTCAAATATCCTTCGTCGTGAAGTTGAAATTGGCTCTGGAATTGAGAAATGTTTGTTGACAAGCAGCGGTCCCTTCGTCGTGAAGTTGAACTTGCGTTGTCTGGAGTCCAATATCCTTCGTTGTGAAGTTGAAATTGGCTCTGAAATTGAGAAATGTTTGTTGACAACCAGCGGTCCCTTCGTCGTGAAGTTGAACTTACGTTGTCTGGAGTCCAATATCCTTCGTTGTGAAGTTGAAATTGGCTCTGAGTAAAACCTGCAAAGATATGCATATATGTGATGCTATGGATGTCATGCTCTTAGATACGCCTAAAATGCATACGCAACATATGTTATTCTGAGCTCTGGAGAGTAATCTCGATCTCCGGTGGCCTGTCGTTGTTGACTCTTGAGCTTGAAGTTCCGATCTCTGATCTTTGAATTCTTCAAGTGTTTGATGATTTTTTTTTTTTTTTTTTTTTTTTTTTTGAAGATGCTCCTCAACCATCTCAAGCATGTGCATGAGCCTTGATCGGCTTCTGGGTACCTGTACTTTTCAATGAATCTTTGTACAGTAATATGCGATTATCTTTCATAAAAATAAATAAACCATTAGGTTTAAATCTAATT